GGCCGGCGGCGGCAAACGCGGCGCGGGAGCGCAGCCGCGTGCAGACCCTGCGGCACGCCTTCCTGGAGCTGCAGCGCACGCTGCCGTCGGTGCCGCCCGACACCAAGCTGTCCAAGCTGGACGTGCTGCTGCTGGCCACCACCTACATTGCGCACCTCACCCGCAGCCTCCAGGACGACGCCCAGGCGCCGGCGGACCCCGGGCTAGGCGCCCTGCGCGGCGACGGCTACCTGCACCCTGTTAAGGTAGGCGGTAGTGCGCACTGCGGAGCTGTGGCGGGGTGCAGGGCACCTTCACCCGCCCGGACTGCCACCGCCTGGGCAGATGCCACCGAGCTCTCACCCCTCGCCTCCCTAGGGGTGAAGCGGGAAACAGATCTGGAGAGCGAGCTTGGCCCGCGAGGGCACTGGTAGCGAGGTCCCCACTGCAAAAGGCTTCTCCTTAACTGTTCGCAGGTGGTGGGTTTAAATCTGGGGTGGGTTGGGTAGGGGTGTCTCACGCCAGCTATAGGATGCAGCCTACAGGATGCCCTTCCTAGGTGAGAAGTTTCTGGAGGGGTGCCTGGTGGGATGCTTGGTTGCACGTCCTGGTAATTTTTAGTATCAGAGTCACATTTATGAGCCTTTGAGAGTTTTTGAGTGTTGTTAATTTCCGTTGTGGTTTTTGTTAGATGTTTGAAAAGTTTCAATAATTAAGTGGAGTTATGGAATTATCTGCCCCTAAGTGATCCTAGGAAACCAGTGTTGAAAGGTTTTGTAAAACTGATAACAAAATGAGACCGTTCTGCATCCCCACGGAGTAAATTTTCAATCCGTTTAAATAAAGGTTAACTATCCTGAAATAGACAGCTACCAAGGTTAGAAAAACTATAAGGTGTTTATGTAATTTTCATAATAGATTGGGATATATGTTGAGTGAGCTGATTAAATACTATATTCAAATTCTGTAATGTTATTAGCCAAGAGAATAATGTTTTGTATCATTTTTTTACATTACATATAGGTAGAATGGTCAGGGTTTTCATTTAATATGGTATATGATTATGATTAATACCTGTATTGCAATATTTAGACTCTGCATCATCCTTTTCTCCTAGATTTGATTGTTTTGAACTCCTACGTTGATCTGGCTTTCTGTTCAAAATGTATCATCTTCCTTATGTTTTCTAAACCTAAATTTTCAAATTTTTGGTTCCATCATTCTGAAACATTTTGCCACACACACAAATACAAAATTAGGACTTAGCCTTAAGTATATCAGTGTTGAATAAATTATTGAATAATCATTATTGAAATGTGGTAAAGCACACCCTCTAATATTAACTGAACTTAAAATTCTGTGGTGAGGTTTAACAAAATTTACTTTGCAAATATAATCAACATGATGATAGGCTCAAACTTTCAAATATTAAATATAAAAATTTGAAATATCATTTATTTATAATTATGATAGACCCCATTCCATTCATGTGTTATATAATATCAGCTGTCAAGTCATTCATTATTAATTAAGGAATTTTATATTACAGAGTGCATTAGATTGTTATTCAAATATATCATTAATATTAGGTTTCTTTTGACTTCATTCTCATATACTCTAGGAAAATTAACTTTAAGTAGACTTTAATACAAAAAGCATCTGTTAAATGCCTCTTTGTGGGAGATAGAATTCAGATGAGAAATCAAGTTGTTTTTCACCATAGTTTCTTGCAGTGCTTTTTTGAAGAGTAATTTTAGCTCCATAATTTTCATGTAAACAATAAGCTTAACAAGAGTTTTTTTGCACTTGATTCACGTCCGAAATGTTTTCGTAGTCTTATAACTCTTTTAAGAAAAATTAAACTCATTTGTCCTCTGAATCAATTATTTTGATTTTAAAAGACGGCTCCAGGGATAATGAAATAAGGCCAAAGATTACCTTTTAAAAATTAAATTGAGGGGCCGGCCCCGTGGCTTGGTGGTTAAGTGCGCACGCTCCGATGCTGGCGGCCTGGGTTCGGATCCCGGGCACGCACCGAGGCACCACTTCTCCGTCCATCCTGAGGCTGAGTCCCACATACAGCAACTAGAAGGATGTGCAGCTATGACATACGACTATCTACTGGGGCTTTGGGGGAAAAAATAAATAAATAAAATCTTTAAAAAAAATAAAAATAAAAATAAAAATTAAATTGATGATGGTTGAACAAGTGACTTGTCTGTTTTAAAATCTTTTACTGAGTGCTTACTGTGTGCAAAGAAAGCATTATGTTATGAGAGTGAATACAATGAAGGATAAGACTTAATCTCTGCCCTAAATGAACATACAAAAGAGACAAAAAATACAAATAGCAGGACTATAAGGGAGAATGTTGTATGTGCCATCAGATAGCTTATAACCATGTGCTGTGCAGGTTCAGAGGAAAAAGATTTTATAGACATGATTGAAACCACCTGTAACATTATTTTACAGACACTACCGAAATGCTTAAATATTAAGTTTATCTTTGATTAATGCAAAAGGAATAAAAATATTCTGATTATTTGTTTTTGGTTAACTAAAGGTATTGTAACCGTTAGTTAAAAAGTGTTCCAAAGTGACTTTTTCTGCCTTACAATACAGTGTTACTAAGTCTTACTTTGATGATCAAAGATCCATTAACAAATATTTCAAGACCATGATTTTGAATCATCGATTTTTATTATCAGTATTGGGGATTTAGCGTTGTTAGCATTGTTGGGGATTTACGTTAAGAGTATCTCAAATGCAACTGAAAGGTTTAAGAGACTGGCATCCTGAGGCATAGTCTAAAACAGCAGTTTTTATCCCTTTGGGATATGAGCAATTCTGATCGGCACCAGTGTCCCAAAGGGCAGTGATTCTGCAAGAGAACAGGGGTATATTTCACATGCTTACATTGAGAGAAAAGCACAGATGACTTTATTAATTGCATCATCCCTTGAGAATCATTGTTGATAACATAGATAAACCATAGTTTTAAAAATAAATACAAAGTTTTGTTATTTTAGGGTTATTTAACTCCCAAAACCAAGAGTACGTTTTTAAGGTCTTCAGTTTAAGATTCAGTTCTGGTTAACTGTATGAGTTTGCTAGATTGTTCTAAGCCTAATGAAGCTACATAATTTTAAATATACATTATCAGCTAAAGTAGAGGTCAGAATTGTGTTAATGTACACAATGCTAAAACAGACCATTGAAAAGTGAAATATAATCAGTCAGCTGGGTTTTTTGGCATGATGCTGACATGCAACCTGATGAATATTTTATTTACATTTTTATTTCTGACTCTTAAAACTATTTATGTGCCTACATTAAGTTCAGTTGAATAAAATCATTAGAAGCCTTTTTGAATAATCCAAGAGCACATAGTTCTTAAAAAGGAAGTTTTATTAAGTCCATGAAAAATAAGGCAAAAATCCACATACACATTTTTAAATTTGCTTCGTTAATTACTTATGTACTAGCAAGGATGTAAGGAACAGATGCCTTCATTTGCCTCCACATGTGGCTGCATGATTTTGAATGATTCTCAATACAGTGGAACCCAGGTAGCACATATCAGAACTACCAGGGAGCATTCAGTAGTATTTTGATTTTACTTGTTTTTAGATGTATTTAATTCACATAGAATTCTCAAATTACATTTAAGGTTTGAGCATGAGATTTTTATGCTCATGAAAATGAGGCAAGAGTTTAAAAGATTGCAAAACACCGCCAAAAATTCTGCACTTGAAATTGATGATTTCTGCCCTACGCTGTTCACTACACGTATTAGTCTGCTCGGGCTGCAGTAACAAAATACCACAGACTGGGTGGTTTAAAAAACAAAAATTTATTTTTTTATAGTTCTGGAGGCTGGAAAGTGCAAGATCAAGGTGCTGGCCAATTCAGTCCCTGGTGAGAGCTCTCTTCTCGCAGTTGGCCGACTTCTCTTTCTCAAAAAAGAGGAGCTCTCTCTTCCGCTCTTTAAAAGGCCACTAATCCTATCATGAGGGACCCACCCTAATGACCTCATCTAACCTTAATTACCTCCCCAAATACCATCACATTGGGAGTTAGAGCATCAACATATATGTTTTGTGGGGACACAAACATTCAGTCCATATCAAAGCTCTGTGGCACTAGATTCTTTAATGCAGGACTTAAATCTGATTTAACAATGCGAGGTCCTGACGTGTTGGAAAAACTCCAGCTAGTTTCTGAAACACTTTAGGTTACCAGTCCATGGCAGGGATCCCAAGAACAGGACCAGTGACAGTGATATATATGCAGAATGTATAAGAATGCACGTCTGTGATTTTTTTAAAAAACTGAAATAGATTTGCAAAAAAATAAGTAAGAGTGTCAGTCTTATTACTGTACCAAACAAAACATACAAAGTTATTTATAGGAAAGTTATAAGGGAGTGGACCATTTTAAACACAAATTTTATATTTTATCTGTGTTTAAAGTGTAGATTCCCAGCAGAATAATCTGAATTTAGGACTCTTAAATGACCTAAACTGTGTAGGAGCAAATTCACTTATCACATCTGGAGGCATAAATATTGGACTTCTGTTGGTTGCTAGGAACAGAAGCGTTCCAGATAATATCATATGCCTACTTAACTATTTCTTATGGCTACGTTTTACATCTGGAATCCCAGTTTAGGTGACAGTAACAGTATTGGGAAGTACAACGAAGGCTTATATTATTCCAGATAAGATCTGACTCTACCTTATGCTCTAACTGCTTCTGAAAAAAGAGGTCCATTCTGATTTAATTGATCTAGAGTGTGACTTGGCCATCAGTATTTTTCAAAGCTCTGCGTGTGATTCTAATATGCAGCTTGGGTTGAGAATCCAGAGCTCTTATGGTCTTTGGATTGTTAATAATTGTACCTCTATTTGAGCACTGAGAATTATCTGCCAGGCATTTAAGAACATTCCGTGGTGCTGTGTAACCAGCAGTCTGCCTGTGAATGTTCGCTGATGAAGATAGCCTGCTGCTCACGGCAGCATTAACTCTCTGGAGAGTGTGGGGGACCCCACTGCTGACCTTTGAGAGTTGCACTTAGTCTAAAGACTTAGCTTTGTATTTTAAAAAAGTAGCAATTCTCTGATTAGCATTCCAAGGACCTTAGAACTAAACTGATTATATGACCCCCCTCCCCCCCAAAATGTTCAATCTGAAAGTACTATTTATGTAATACATTTTTTTCATCATCACGCCTATTTGGCAATAAATTATATCGTTTAGAAAAGTCACAATCAGGATATAAATATGATGATTACTGAAAAGTTACAGCTGTGTGTTGCCAACACATCCAGACATTTAATCTGGATGTTCTATCTATATAATACCAAACATTCTAATATTTGCAACTTTCAGAGATTGCTTTGAGCTAGATAAAATGTTTAGATAGTTGAATTAGTCACTTTTCATTGTAGTTCTTTGACAAGTGTAGACATATAATACTTACCATGTGTAACTTTTCAAAATATCTTTAAAGCCAGGGATCTTGTTTTCGGCTTAATTTTGTTTTAGGTTTAGTTTGAAATTACAACACTGTGGGTAGATATATTTTCCTACAGTTAACTATATTCATTCTCCATGATTTCTTGCAGTTCTTATCCACATGCACACATATTATTTTATACAATTATAATCAAAGTCTGGGTATATCGTTATTTTATTGTTAGCATTAATAAACATTTTTTCATGTCATCCCTTAGACTTCGTAATTACAGTTGTCACTAGCTACATAATATTGCATTTGCATTGAGGTATTTGGAATTTTTAATATTATTACAGGCTATGTTGTATCTGTCATAGATACTAACTTTTGGATTCTTGTTTTAAATATTCTTTTTCAGAAATGGCCCATGCGATCAAGATTATACATTGGTGCTACTGGTCAGTTTCTGAAGCATTCTGTCTCTGGAGAAAAAGCAAATCATGGTAATACTCCAACAGACTCACAGCCCTGATGGGGCTGGTAGAAAGTGATGTCTATTGTTTTTAAATGGTATGAAATAATTCTATATTTATTACATCAGACATAACAAACATCATTTCTGAAAGTTTACGTATGAATCCATAGTTGAGTGTTCAGATTTATTTGTCTAATCTAAACAAATGTGGGATGAAATAATCAGTCTTGTATAAAACAGCTCATCTGTTCAGTGTGAGAGATAGGCACTACTATATAGTGCAGGAGAAACTATTGGAAAAAAGAAAAAGACACACGAAAGCAAAGAATTATGTATATGTCCAAAGAATACACACATTTTCTGTAGTGTATCTGTTACAAACTGAAAAGCTAATTATCAATTCACTCTTCCTAGTTTAAAAAAATAAAAGCTGTGTTTGTAATACACCAGTATTTCATTTTTGTGAAAACCAGTCTGTGCTTAAAGTTGGTATAGGAAGCTATTTCAGTTGGAAGAGGTGAGATCATTCAGTTTTAACTGAATATGTGTGAAAAGACTGTTGAATTAATATGATGATGCAGTAACTTCTTTTTTTTTTTTTTTTGTGAGGAAGATCAGCCCTGAGCTAACATCCATGCTAATCTTCCTCTTTTGCTGAGGAGGACCGGCTCTGAGCTAACATCTATTGCCAATCCTCCTCCTTTTTTTTCCCCATAGCCCCAGTAGATAGTTGTATGTCATAGTTGCACTTCTAGATGCTGTATGTGGGACGCGGCCTCAGCATGGCCAGAGAAGCGGTGCGTCGGTGCGTGCCTGGGATCCGAACCCGGGCCACCAGTAGCGGAGAGCGCACACTTAACCACCAAGCCACGGGGCCGGCCCGATGATGCAGTAAGCTCTATAGTTAATTTTCCCTCTTAGAAAACTTGTTTGGAGTATTAGAAATGGTTTGCTTCATAGGACAGGGCTTGGCCACCTTCCTGGAGGATTATTAAATATCTTCTTATGTTTCTAAATCGTGGAAGGCATTGGGAATCCCTGCAGCCCAGTGTGAACGGGAGATGGGTGTCCCCCCTGGTCCCTCCATCTTCACCCCACTCTCTTTCAGGCCCTGGACGAGGTGAGCAGGTGCAGGTGCAGCCACCCTAGAGAGAGTGGCATGTTCAGGCCTGTCTGGGCCCTCGAGTGAAGCCCTGGTGACGCTCACGGTCACAGCTTTGGCCAGGCTCCTTCTCCCCTTGTCAATTGCTGTTCACAGCCCTTATGAAATAAGTGGGAGGAATCCTGTCTGGTTTGGGAATTCGGGTACTGATCTGCACCTTGAGGGAGTCTGAGGACACAGAGTGACCATCCTGAGATACATCAGGCCAGAGCAGACCCCCCTGAATCTGCCCTGACTTGAACCTACAACCAGGGAAGGCCCTCTGCCGTGGGCCTCTCCCACCGCACTGCACGTCAGGTGCCCAGGGAGCAGCTGTTCTGCCTGATTGCACCAATGGTTTCAGTTTTCACCAGGAGCTTGGGGGTCATAGCCCAGAAGTAGAGATGTTTGTCAGGGAACGCAGTGAATCGCAAAACAACAGGGTGCAATACAGACACCTGAAAAAAAAATCTTCAGTCTCTTTTGTCATTTCTTTGCTGATTTAGATTCTTTTTTATCTCCTTTTCTTGTTTTTCTCCTTGGTCTTTACTATTCCACTTTTCAACTGTAAAGTTCATTTATTTCTCAATAATCCACAGTTATAAGGTTGCTGAAGTTGATCCAAGATTAGCAGATAGAAAGGTATGTTAGTGGACTCGGTTGAATTAATACAGCAGTTGAACCACCATTTTATTTTCTCCTCACCTCAGTTTTCTTCCAGCTTTTGGCAGTGAAATGAAGTAAAAGACCATTTGAAGGCAAAAACTGTTATTCAGTTGATTCAGCCAACATGACCAAGTTTTGGCTCATATCTGATGGTTATTTTGTGATTTTTATTATTTTAATGTGAATATACTCCTTGTAATGTGACTGAAGCATGTCTTTAAAAGAAAAGGCATAAAATAAAAGCTTCCTACTTATTAATATGTAGCAAAAATGTTTGTATATTTAAATATTTGTGAATGTATTTACCCACTCATATAACATTGAAAGGAATAAAAAGTAAAATTAAATATGGATTCAGTCATTCACTATTGTAAGTTATTGGCATAAAAAGTGCCAAGAATAATCTTTTACTTTAAGGAATGAAATCAAAACTTTTTTAAAGTTACCTGAAAATGAACTGTACACACTAAATTTGATAGCAAGAATTTCAGAAAAATGGTTTTCTTGCTAATAATCCATTTGGCTACAGTGTTTAAAGTATTTAATTGGGGAAAAATTATGACTTTTGTTGACTTATCAGACTTTTCTAAATCATCCTGTTAAATAGTTAAGCTTTGTCTTTGACAGTATTACTTTTTATTTCTTCTTGTCCAGTTACAAATATTTTAATGCCAAAGAAGCATATTTCTATCATAAGTTTTCATGACATTTTAGTAAAACACTAAATATTCTAACAGCTTTTGGTAGGTTGGAAAATCTCACAGGAGAAATTGCATATTTTCTTGCAAAGGTTCAAAGGAGCATGCTGTTTTAATTAGTGGTGCATGGTCAGGATAAGGGGTATTGCTAAAATAAAATAAAGCACTAATTTGAAAATTAATTTAGTCTGTTAAATTTGCATCTGTGTCTGGATATTTAACAAAAACTGAAAGTGCATTTGAAAATCTGTTCACCGTGCTGTTCTTAATGGAGTATATAATAGGACTGGGAAGGGGGTATATTTGGATCACAGTATTTTCCCATAATCTACCAGGGAAATCCTCAGTTAAATTTCTGTTAGTTCACTCAGCTGTCTCAGTGATATGACATACATTTAAAATTCCTCTGTATTGATAATTTTGGGGGATAAGGAAATGCCTTTTTAGAGGCATAACTGGTTCCAACAGACTTCAAAAATATTTATTGTTTCTGATTATAAAAATACTTATAGTGCAATTTATTGTATGTCAATTATACATCAATAAAGCTATATTAAAAATATATATGTACCATTTTAAAAGTAAATTTAATTAAAAAAAGGAATGAAGTGGAAAGTAAAAGTCCTACAGTGGGGATGGGTGTTTGGGATAGAGTAAAGGTGAGGATATCCATTCCACACGTTACTGGATAATAAAAAGAGTGGTTTTGCATTTTTATAAGGCTTTTTTGACCCAACTACTTTAATCTGCAGAGTTACAGATATCCTAAACAGTGGTTTTCTTATCTATTCATGGAGACTTTATTTAAACTTAGAAGAAGCTGTTTGAAAAGAAAATAAATGCTGATTGACCTCACTGCAATGCGTAGTAATTATTTTAGTTGAAATTGCTTCTTAGGTTAAATTATTCAATATTTTCTCTTTCTCTCAAAGGGCCTCATTTTATATTCATGAAAGCAACTAACCAGTTACTATCAATTAAAGAGAAAGTATTCAGGCTCTAATAAGTTCTCTTTTTTTTTTTTTTTGAGTAGGGAGAGGTAATTCTTTATATATTTTCCAGCACGTTATTTAATCTTTTCTTTAGGCCTTGGTGTATCACAGTGCCATTCTGAGGAAATAAGCCAATACAGACAAAACATCTCTGCAGTGGCCAACGTGATTCCCTTAGAAATCAACACGTGAATTGTATTTGGCATCACTATGAGACAATTGCTTGTTGGCTCTGTATAAAATTGTATTGTTCTTAGCTGGCAGGGAGAAGGAATTATAAATCAAACAGATTGCTTCTGATCCAAATTTATATATTAGATAGCTTATTTTGAGAGGATGGCTTAATCTCAATGCTCTTTCCCAATTATGTATAGGTTATTGCAAATAATATCAATCATGTATTTTATTTGAAAAGCTGTGAACTTCGGCTCTTCCAGCACTGGCAGATTCCATCTTAATCTGGTCACAATTTTTTTTTCTTTTAATCATTGCTGGAGGATGTGCTAATTACAATTTCCCAGATGACTTAACAACTAGTAGTGTACTGTTGCTGTCTTTCTCTGTGGTACACACTTTTGATTTTTTAGTTTTGTTTTTGTTGTTATTGTAACTTTAAAATATACAAAAGCTAAGATTCCAAATTTTTAAAAGGAACACTAGGGGAATATTATAAAGTATATCTCAAAAAAATTATGTACTTTTATTTGTTACATACTGGTAGCTGGTGGTCTTATATGTGATTTTTTTCACTGAAAAAAATAAATGTCCCTTAAATCCTATAGATGTGCTTCCCATAAACTTTGAGTATGGCACAGATGGTACTGCAGCACAGTTGGGAATGAGGGACATTAAGTATTCTTGCCTAACTACATAAACCCGGGAAGGACTTCCCTTCCTATGTTTACACAAGTCTTAGTTTCAACTCATAAGAGAAACCAGCTCAGTGAAATATACCTCAATCACTCATACTCTTTCATTATAAATTATACCATAGCATTTAGCTGTCAGAAGCTTTTAAATTATAAACTGAAGAATAATCTTAACTATTAGGCTTAAAGATTATGTCAATAGTCATTTCCTGTGCACATGAATGTCACTGAGGAAACTCATGCATTCCTGCCCTCTCAGAACCAAGAAGTATGTCCATGGGGAGCTCTGGGGATGGACTTAAATCATTTGTCTCCATGCTGGAGGCCATTTAAAACAATGTGAGGTCTAAATAAGAACTGATTTTAAACATTCTTATTTTCAAATAAGTTCTGAAATCACTCAATTTAAAAATTTTAAATGTGTTCTATTATAAGGCACCTTAATACTTTACACAGATGGGTATATTGTGTGGTCAAATTTTTTATTTAAGTTGTATCTTTTTCAAAAGCTCTACCCTGTGTGCAGCACATCTCTGCCTCTTGTTGACTATAAGCTCCTATACTAGAGTCGTCTCGAAACGTGGGCTATACCCAAGTGGAAAAAGTGGTGTGCAATCACAGAGACAGGAGAGTCAGGAGAGGGAAGAAAGGTGGGAAGTGGAAAGTTATTTCCAGATCCTCCTTTTAGAAG